CTATTTTCTAGTGTACTTCAAATGCACATTTCTGAGAAAAGTATGGTTTATAGCAGGATTCCACTTGGATAAAACAACCTAAATTTACTATAAAATCCATAAATAAACCTAGGAGTAGCTACCACTCCTAGCGATTATTTGAAGTAATTTACTGTTTGGACAAGTGTATTGTGAGAAAGGTCCACTGTGGAACATAAACCACAGACATTATACACCTGTTGATGATAGTCAGTAGTGACTGAAGTAAGTAACAGACTGAACTGACTGAAAAAATCTGTCCAAAGGATTTCAGTAAATCAGGAGTTATCAGGAGATACCTGGATGTTTGGCATACCCATCCTAAGGGTTCTGTTGCCTTTTAGCATAAGGCAGAGTGTAGAATGTCATTCTCCTGCTGATGTCATGAACAGCATCACTATGAGAGACAAGTGAGACAAGTGTCTATTTGTTTCCAGTTTGATACAGACACTGCAGACAGCCTTGAAGAGAATGTAGGTTTATACTAGGAAGATTGGTGTACAACTACAACAGCATGTTTTAACAGTTTGAGGCCAATTTTCATTATGTTGGTGGGTTTCCTTAGATGTCTGAGTTTAATGATAATGTGCTCTGGAATTCCTGTGAAGAAAATGCTTTAGAGCTCTTGAACTGAGAGTCTTGTGAAGAGAAGATATTGTGCACAGTGATTTTTAATAGCCTGTGCCTCTCAGGATGTCTGGTGCTAACTAATCTTTCTGATTATCAGGAATTAATTTAAGGGAGAAAGCAACAAGAAGCGTAACTGTGGTGTAGCTTCTCTGAGGCATCCTAAATCTCAGAAGGATTTTACTCTATCTCAAAGTACACTGAAATACAACATTGACAGAGATAACAAGCAGGGATAAGCAAATTCAAAGAAACTGACTTATTCAGCAGTTGCCTGGAGATACAGAATATAGACCCACCAATCTGAGTTGATTATTTCAGATAGGGAGAAAACTGCAGCTGGATTCCCAGAGAATTAGGCCATGCTCCCATCTGGCAGGATTTTAGAACTCAAAATTTGAATGGATTTCAGAAACTTAGGGAGCTAAAGTCACAGTTCTAAGAGTTAGGTGACTGGTTTAAGTGTACGGACAACTATACCTCAGTTCTGATTTGCTTACAAATGCTGAAAATTCTTCATGGCCCACAGCTTAGCACAAATTCCCTTCTTTTCAGTGCACTAGACTATACATCAGGAAGAAGGGGAACAGGTATCAGTGAGAATGCTAAGATGCAAGGGATAAAGAGACTTAAAGATATTAACAGTGATTGGTATTCAGTTACTTCCCTGGGAAAGTCTGAAGCACCACACTAAAGTTGGGTAGTTCACACATGAGCAGGGAGGACTTTCTTGGTGCTGGTCCTATTTTACCACTTGCCCTTAGTACCTCAGTAATATCTGACAATATAATGACACACTTAGGACAGTTTTTAGGAAAAAAGTAAATATAAGCCAATAACTACTCCAGTCATTTAAAAGACATACTGCTGCTACAAAGCCAAATACATTTAGCATGCTTCCCTTGTGCAGATTTTATGCCAACACAGGACATAGAGTCGCAAGATTTTAAGTCCATCAAGACGTAGCAAAAGCATGTTAACTCTGAGCAGATATTAAGCACTTTAACAGTAATGAATAATATCAATGAAGAAGATAATTTACCATAAAATATATGTAATATTTAACCAGAAGAAACCCCTTCAAACTAAAATCCCAGAAACTAAAATAGCACAAAATTTTTTATGGCATGGTATTACAAGTCAGGAATCAGACCTAGAATCATAAAATCATAGAATGGTGTGGGTTGGAAGGGACCTTGAAGATCATCTAGTTCCAACCCCCCTGCCATGGGCAGGGACACCCTCTACTAGACAAGGTCTTAGAGCCCTATCCAACTTGTCTTGAACACTCCCTGGGATGAGAAGTCCATAACCTCTCTGGCAACCTGTTCCAGTGCCTCATCATTTTTTCCCAACATCTAATCTAAACCTACCCTCCTTCAGCTTGAGACCATTCCCCCTTGTCCTTCTCCCCAGGGCTCATCTCAATCCATTCTCTGCCCAGCCTGTGTTTGTGCTTGGGATTGCCCTAAACCAGATACAGGACCTTCCACTTGGCCTTGTTGAATTTCATGAGGTTCTTATGGGCACATCTCTCAAGTCAGTCAAGATCCCTCTGCATGGCATCCCTTCCCTCCAGCACGTTGACCACACCATACAGCTTGGTGTCATCTGCAAATTGCTGAGATGCACTCGATCCCACTGCCCATGTCTCCAACAAGGATGTTGAACAGCACCAGCCCCAGTACCAACCCCTGAGCAACACCACCCAACCTGCAGAATTAAAGTTTGTCACAAAAGCAGCCTTGGAGATTTTAGGTCTACACTGATCTCTTGAATATTAACATTCCACACATTCCCTGCATATACCATTATTCCTCCATCTAAAAACAGGTTTCAACCCTAAGAAAGATAAATAAAACGCTCTGAATCTGTTAGAGAATGCATAGCTGTGCCACAAACAGAATCAGGCAAACACCTGATGGAAAGCAGGTGTATCCTCTGTTCCTTAGGGAGCACAGCAAGACAGATAATGGTCTGTCACACTGAAAGAAAATGGAGATTCTTTTTAATCAAAAGACTTCATCATATTTCAGATACAGTTTACTTTATGGGAGAACTTCTGGCAATAACCATGAAAAAACGTGGTTTTATTCATCCTGATTACTGTCAGGGATTTTTCCATTGTGCAAACAATAACTCGCAAGTATTCAGGCACCCAAAGCTTTGAAACAGCTTTGAGAGCACACAGCAACTGAGTTCGCTTGAATCCAAACTCATCATATAAACCTCTTGATAGTTATTATTCTAAGAAGCACATTGCCTCTGTTTTTGCCTGCATAGACTACAAAGTGCATGAAAAGTACTGAAAGAGCCTAAGAAGTTGCTGGGGAGGGAATGCAAATTTATTCAGACCTATTTAAAACAGTAGACAAGCACTTGTGCTAATCCTAGAGATGTGCTTGTTTTTCTAAACTGTTGCAAATGTTCTTTTAAGATAGTGATAAAAAATTAACTTTGAATTTACCTAACATTACACACGTATCACATAAAATTAACACTAGTCTGTATATCCTTTGCAATTTCGACTGTGTTCAGATTAAACCCGACAGGGCTTGCTCAAATGAATATTTTTGGATCACAAAAGGGTACTTTTGAGCCCATGTTTTCAGTGGGAAACTGTGCTTTCTTTGTTCAAACATCATATATGTCCAGTTTTTAGAATTTGGTCTGAAAAAGTAGAAAAACCGATTCATAACAGAAAAAAAGGGAATTTCTTCCCCAAGTACATTTTTTCAACAGCATATAAGATAGAGATGACAACACTGGAACACTTCAGTAATAATTAGTCATCATGTCTTAGCAGAACATAATATAATAAAACCTATTTTCCTAGGATTTTTGTTCACCTTTTTTCTTTATAACATCATGTACTTTAGATTGCCTTTTTACATCAGATATTATTGCTTTTTTCCTTACAGATGCTTAGAGGTTAGGAAAGGATTTTCTTTCTTTTGATTCCTCTCCTGGGAAAAAAATTCAGGAGCTTGTTAGTTTCCTCAGTACTCTTTGTATAACAAAAGGTGGCATATATGGAAGGCCTCATTTTTCTCTTAGCTCTACTGCTCCAGACATGCAACTTCTGCTCATTTCCTTGGGCACTGAAGATGTTCAGCAGCTCTAAGGATTGAATATACTCAGACCAAACAAATAGCAGAAGCTCATACTGGAACCATGGAATTAGTAAGAACTGGACTGCTATAACAGTTTAACTGGACTGCTATAACAGTTTAGACAGACATAAAACCAAAATATTTCTTCCAAGTGAATACATCAAGAAAGATGTGACTTGTTAGAAAAATGCATTACTTCTCTTTTCTTGAGTGGCCATGTTCACAAGCTCTCATTATATTTTGCAAAGTGCAACAGAGTAGGATCCATTGCTACTCACATCTCAGTCTCAGTCTAATTACTGTCACTATACAATTAATATAAAAATATTTTTTGTTATTCTCATCTTCCATGTGTATTCTCCTCTTTTTTTCTTTCTCCCCCTTTTCTTCTTCTTTAATGCTGTATTTTATTATTTATTTGTTGTCTTTTTTTTCTGTGTACTAGTAGTTAATTATATTTTACATAAGCTGGAAAATTCTAATAAAAGCACTAGGACTTAGAAAATAAACTTTTCTCTTTTTTTAATTGATGGAAAATCTGCAAGTTTAATTAGGCAACCCAGTGAGATAAATGCATCAACAAATAAATTTCCCACTCATGAATGCAGCACAGCTAACAAGAAACTGCCTAGGAAGTTTCAATTCATTTGGGTATCAAAGTATTTATACCCAACAGATTTGGGCCAGATAAGAGCTTTCCAATACAACCCAAGGATTACAGAGTGAACCCCAGCAGGGTACCTGATTCCTAAGCACTGGGAAATCTCCCACTGGTTTAGAGCACACACATTTTTCTTTCAGAGTGACAGGCAAACAAGTGCATGCCAGGAAAACGCCTGAAGGAAGAAGGCGTTGATATAAAACTGTCCTTTGCAGGTAGTCACTACTTGGGCTCTTCTATGCTGCTCTGTAAATAAGCTGAAGAAGAGGTAGTATGAAGATTCTATTTAGTCTATGAGCCTGTTGTTTACAGTGCAGGTTATTTTTCTGTTTATACTCTGCACCATCTGAATCCAGAAAAGAAAAAAGTGAGCCTAGTCCTGGTAAAAATTAAGGTTGAGATTACAAATATCAGGAGAAAGGATACACAAGTGTAATACCTTAAAAGGAAGAAACATAAATGTTATTTTAAATAATAATAACATAGTATGGGCCATAACATTTATAATAAAATCAGATGTTCAACATTAATAACTGACATAAGGAAGCAATCATATTTATAAAGAAGATTTATTTCTGAAGATTCAAACAGGCATTGCACTTTTTTCTTTTGCATCTGAAAAGCAAACATTTTACTTGAGGAATGAATTAAAAATAACAGAATAAAAGGGAGGAAATAGCACTATCAGTTCAGAATTTCCAACCTCTTTGCAATTTGCTTCCACTTAAGAACATGACTAGTTCTTCAGAGCAATAACTGCATAGCATCTGGGGGACTTCACAGGATCAAATAACTTCACAAGTCCAGACCAGGCAATGTTTTCCTGAAAATGATATATGATTGAAGTGCATAAAAATGCGTTTGACTTATAAGTTAAAATATGGTAATAGGTACACATTTTGAAATACAAAATTGAAAATAAATAGAATTATCCTAAAGCAAAGTAGGAAAACCACTCATCTAATAAGAAAATTGGGGGAAAGTTTGTTGTGAAAAAAGGACACCCATAACAGGATGTATTTTAAAGTAGTTTAATTATTTCTAGTGCTATCAAGTGATAGCTTCCCACCTGTTTCATTAATAAAGCTTTGCTTTTTGGCTGAACTAGAGCAAAGAAATTAAGGCGCATGTCATACTTGTTTTATGCTGCACATTCTACTACTGAAGCTAATTAACTGACTTCAAATTAATCAGGCTGGCTGGATCTGGTCATCATGCTGCATTTGGCTTTCTTAACTTTTACTTTTCTTTCTAAACACATTTTGTAAATCAATCAGTACAAGAGTAAATCCATGCATATATTACATTTAGAAAAGGTGAATTAGTGCTATATGCAGCAAGTCTTATCTCCTATCTTGGAAATCATACAGATTTCTATGCAATTTTTAACTGGTTGGCATTTGGGAAAATACATCATTATTTAACTATTTTAAATTGCCTCTCTGTAAAAATACCAGTTAGAACAAAGCACACATTTACTATAATTCAGTTGTTCCAAGTGCATCGTGACAGAGAATAAAGTGAGTTTTCACTTATGATAAAGTGGAGCTCTTAAAATGAAAGGTTTATAGAGGAAAAATACAGCTATTCATATGAATGAGATTAAACTTTATTTTAAAATTTTATTTTGACCATGGCCCAGAGCAGAAGCTGGATGATGCGACCATTTCCGCCTAGGAAATTATTATTTGTGTGAAAAATGTTTATTGGCGCAGAAAAAATACTACCACTGCTTTCAAGTTAAGCAGGCCAAGCTCAAAATCAGTGTTAGAAGAAACAGTGTAATAATGTAAGTCATCATGGAATAAATGTAGTAGCATTTGCTTATTATGTCCCAGATCTATACTTGTAAAATATATCAGGCTGCATGTTAGTCAAATGTACCTCAGCTGACCCATACAGTTAGAAAAAGTGCACCCTCTCTCATTATTGATCTTAATTAAGAAACAGTAAAATAAAATCATAAACATTTTGGATTTAATTCAAAATTTTTAGAATTATATGTTCCAAAGCACATTAATTGGAAGTTCGTGTATTAGCAGCAAAATATTTGTTTAGCATATCCAAAATTTTTAAAAATTATTAAATATCTCATTATGTTGTATAAAATGAGATTTGCTACATCTTTGATTAATTTATTTTTACTATCTATTGACTAGTAATTACCATACAATTAAAAGAGCATAAACTTTACTGTTGTTGCTTTGTTGAAAATAAAAACATCTGCTGGGCATATGTTTATAGTAAATGGAATGAATGCTTATACTTTTGCAAATATGATGAGAATAATAATTCTGAAACAGAGACTTTTTGTCTGCATAGTAATAAATTGACTGAAATAGCCTCATTTCAGTGATGTAGCCTTTAGGAATCATAAAAGAGAATGCAAAAATACCTGCTCCTTGAGGTAGCAAAGACGATCCAGAAGTATCAAAACTTCTATGCAAGGAGCCAGAACAACCTTCAGCTGAAAGAAAGATTAGATGCTATAATCCTTTTGGGAAAGACAGGCAATACACTTCCAAATGGCTACATTTCCTCAGAACAATTCCAGGAAGGTCAATCATTTTTTAGGGTTTCTGCTGTACAAATGTCACCTTGCTAATTTTTCCCTATGGGATGAACATCTTCAAAACAGATTATATTAAAGATCAAAAATACATGTAAAGCCATAAAGTCAGAGAACTATTTATTTATTTAGTTGGTTTTCAGACATTGTCCAACAAGAAAATAATATTAAATGTAGCAGAACAATTTTAAAGAGGGAAATAATGAATTTTAATAAAAAGAGTTTTTTATTAAATAACTGCATGGAGACCAGTCTAGATTTAAAAGGAGACTGACATTCCATTTTCCAGTGCAATAGTCCCTCTTGAAAAAGAATCCTCCATGTGTTCACTTTATGACTTTACTTACACCTAATATAGTTCTGGAATAGGATACGCTCCAAAGTATGGAATGGGGAACTGCTTTGTTTTTTGAGATTGCATACCACAGTGTAAGACAGTCTACCTCCACATAAAACTTAACAGGGCTTTGTTCTAGACTAGCACATATATGCAAGGTAGTAATATTAATCCTATAACTTTTACCATATTAAATGCTTCAAGCTCAATCATTCTGTGCTTGTACTTTTCGTAGTAATCCATTATACAACTGTCTGGGAGCTGCAAGGGATTAAACAAAAAGATATCAGTTATTCTAGTTACTTTTTCAACAGAACTTTAGAATTAAACATTGTCACACTAAAAGAATCCATGTTTCGTTTTTGAAATTAGCACTTCGCTAATATTTATAATAATTTTCCAATAGAAGCTTCTCAGTTCTTATTTACAGTGACTGTTCTTCACACAGCAGTTTCCACTGGCCTGAAATACTGAGATATATTCATTATTCAGAAAGCTCCAGCCATTCTTAAATGAGAATTAAACAGTAAAGTGGAGATAACATTCTCATTTCCTTTCCATGTACCTTATCCCCTCCTCACTCCCATGCCCAAGAGATTTATTTAAATAGCTGAGAATTAAACTCTGGTGTGAGAGTAACATGGATGGTATTTCATATTCCAAAACCTACTATCAGATTCTGGAAATAATGCTTTGTTTCCCTGGGCTTAAAATTACCTATCTTTAAAACAGAACTTTCTCTATTTACTTTGAACTACTTCATGTTCCCTCTCTTCTTTTCCCAATTACCTGATGTGAGACTGCCAGCACTGCCACCATGACTGTAAATGCTGCGATTTGGGGCTGAATTTGATACACAGGCAGTTCAGGATTTGACCAAATCTTTTCAGCCCCTGCTGGCCAGTGCAGCAGAGCATGTGCTGCAGCTGTGACCACGACTGCTTTTCACAAATCATTTTCTCTATAGGGCAGCCAGACCACCACACCTCCTGGCTTTTGAAGGTCATGATGTGTCTGCTCTTCTGATCACAGTCCTGGACACTGAACAAGACACTTGAGCTGGCTACGTAAGGAACATGCCAAAGAAATGGGAAGTAGGATTGCAGCATTATTGCTGATGGAGGCTGCTGGGAAGAGCAGAGCTGAAAGAGCCTGATGCACTTCTGCAGTACTGAGAATTTTGCAGTACTGCAGTACTGCATACTGCAGTATGGCTGTTCTGTCGTGGCTATGGAATTAGAGAGTCCAAACAGCAGAAAAGGAACAGCTCTGACAGACATGCAGATGGGGCACTGAGTGACATGGTTTAGTGGTGGACTTGCAGTGTTAATGGTTGGAACTGCTGCTCTTAAAAGCCTTTTTCACACTAAATGACTCTATGACTCTATGACAAAAGACAAGGAAAGTTGAAGTGCTTAATAAATTTTTGCACATTTTATTAGAAGAATCATCTGAGAGCATGTGGCTAATACAGTTGCAAAAAAGTAAAATCTTTGTTTAAAATAGGGAAACAAACCAGAAAACATATTAAAAATATATAAATTTTTAAATCAAGTGAGTATTATAAATTTTATCCTGGGGCAGCCAAGAAGGGACTGAAGTGACCTCAGAACTACTACTCACTGTCACTAAGAAGTTCTCAAAGAGGGTATGTCAGACAGATAGCAGATATATGTCTTTTATTATAGAGCAGACAGTTCAGATTCAATGCACCGAAAAAATGGAACAAATAAAGAATTTAAAACCACTGAAAGATAAGCAAATTAGTAAAAATCAACATAAATTCATCAAGAATCACAGGTCAGTCTATTTCAATTGTAAGGAGGGTAAAAAAATTCATGACAGAGAAAAACAACTGGTTCTCATATATTTTGATTTCAAAAAGATTTTTGATAACATTTCCCATAATAATTTTATAGGCAAATTTAGGAAACAAGCTTCAGATTGAAGTACTAAAAAGTGAGTAAAAACTGCTTGAATGAACATAACCAAAGTCTTTGAGCAACTGAAACGACCTGCTGACTGGAGGTCCATTATGGAATGCAGTACTTCATTAAAAATCCAGACAATAGAACAGAAACCACATTAGCTAAGCCTGAAAATGTGCAACAGGAAGGCACTGTCAGAACTTAAAATAACTTTCAGAAATTGGAGCATTGTTTAGAGAAGAAGTTTGAAATGCTGTACAGAAAAGCAGAAGGGACTAGGCTCAGGCAGAAATAATCAGCTGTTCAGGACGGGGAGCAGCAAATGACAGTCTGGAAGATAGAGCAGATCATAAGCTGAGTGAGAGTCACAGTTGTGCTACTGCAAAAAAAAGCAATCACCATTCTGTGACATGTATGGGAGAGCAGCCTGCAAAGTGCAGGAAGTAATCCTTCAACTTTGGCAGTGGAAAAGCTCTAACTGGAATACTGCATCCATTTTTGGGCATCAGATTTCAAAGAAAGAAATGAACTGTCTGAAAAAGCCCTGAGAGGGAAAATAGATCAGAGATCTAGAAAACATGACCTATGAAGAAAGACTCAGAGAACTGGAACTGATCAGGCTAAATGAGACAAAATTGAGAGTGGGGATAATAACAGTTTTTACAAGGCTATCACCAAGAAATAGGGAACAGTTTGTTCACTGTGTCTGCAGTGGGTAGGGCAAGAACTAATGGGCTTGAATTGCAGAAAAAAAAAAAGTTAGCTAAAAGCTTGAAGAAACATTTTCTCTTAGAGGTTAATTAAGGACTAGCAAGCTTGTCAGTCTTCATCACAGGAAGCTTTTAGATCTGACAAATACTATTTTCAGGAATGATGCGTAATTCTAACTCTGCTTTAAAACTTTTGTAGTATTTCAGTCATATTTTTTTAATTTAGAAAGTACATTTTCCCAACTGCAAAGGCAAGGTTGAGTAGTTTATCCGGCAGTACTAATGTGGACTAACAAGAATTTTTTTGGTCTTATTGTTATTTTATTTTCTGTGAAGCTGTGCAATATTTTAGAGTTCTTTTTGTTTTTCTCTTTCCCTCTAAACAGTCAACCCAACCAAAATATATCAGTCACTAAATAAACAAAAGAGTTTATTTAACCTCTGCCCTATAAGCTTTTCATTTCAACTGAGTATTAATAGGGTTTTAGTATAATGGATTTTTGAAATTACAGGCTATTTGGAATTAAGATACTAAGACTTATATTTGGAAAAATGTGATCTTGAAACCTTTCTGCCTTTGCTTCCTTTATGTTCTCCATTTTTCAAGATGAAGCATTCAAATTAGAACAAAAGTTGTGAAATGTTTGGCAAATAAAAAGTGGGTCAAAAATGTCTCTTGTACACTGCCATACTCAAGTATGTGCTTTTCCATTCCTTCCCTGCCTATTACACATTCTGACTGAACACATCCTGCTGTCATGGATAGACTAGGTACTATGCCAAACTGTGCCTCAGATAAAAGTCTGGTGACTGAACCAATTCAATGCAACAGCTCAGCTGGAAAAGAGAGAAAGTGTGCATTGAAAAGCATTGGTAGAGAAGGGCATGAAAAGGGTAACTGGTAGTTAGCCATGTGGTCAATTTATTGGAAGACAACTAAAACCCAGGTAACATTGGTTTTGTCTGAAACTGCAACAGCTTTCCACCTGCCTTTGGTACCTAACACAACCTTCAGCTCTCCTTCCAAGTAAACTAGGAGTAGTTTACTCTTGGCATTTTTGAAGAAGAATTGTACTTCTATATGCAAAGCCAGCCCCATTCAGCTACTGAAGTTGTCCAAGAAACTGTTCTCTGCGTTGTTAACTCACTTGTGTACCCCCAAAAAATTCTTCATATATAAGCACTGAACCTTATTCGTACATTTCGATGTTGATACAATGAACATGAAAAAACTCAAATACATGCATTTGTCTTAATAATGACTGCACTCAAAGATTTAACTTAAGTTACTGACACTCAGGTGACCTTCATTTCATTTTGGCCAGTGTTTCTTCCCTGATAAAGCTACAATGTCTCCTGGTCTTTATCAGGTTGTGAACAATAGGACCTCGCCATCACCACTGTGATGGTGGTGCAAGCTTCATTTTGAACTGATTTCTTTGTGGATTGATGTGGTCACTCAAACAACTGAAAGAAGCAAGAGGACCTAGCAAGGTCTCCGGTGACCTACCTGTAACAATACCATATAGATATACGATATCATAAACACCATATGATGGACATGGCACTAAACATGAACCATAGGACTGACTGATCTGTTGTGAACACAGTGAGACTGTTCACAGAGCTCTGAGAGCATATGAGATACCACATACCTGAGCACACCCACCTTGGACTGCAGTCCCACAGGCATGCTGATAGAGCACAGGCTGAAAAGAAAATATTCAGGCCCAAGGTGTGGGGCAATTACTGAAACCACACTTCACATTTCTTCAGAGAGCCTTTTTTCAGAGCTGAATCCTTTCCTAGACTAAGAGTATTTTCACTGAATGAAAGTCTCTTTTACTGTCCAATGCTGCACATGTCCTCCAGAGAAGAGACAGCCTCAGGATGCTATTCCACAGTCTGTTAGATGCAATTCCTCTTTGCTACCTCAAAGGGACTGCTTCTTCCTGCACTGACTGCACAATTCCATGTTTCCTCTCTCTACTTGTACCAGCACTATCAGGAACACTAACAAGAATACAAGAAAACTGTAAGGCAATCCTTCTAGCAGAACAGTGTCTTAGATCAGTTCAAAACATTTGGGAGAACATACTTAAAAGGAAATTTTACAACTTTTCCATGACTAAGGCAGTCAAAAATAATGTAATGTTATATACTGTAAAATAATGTAAAACAGATAATGAAATTACTGGGAGACTTAAGAACCTTGTTTAAAACAAAGTTATTTAGAACTTTAAAAACAATTTTATTTAGAACTTTGTTTAAAATGCATTTCAAATTAATGCAATCTATATTATTTATAATATACCTAACTGAGTTACGAGTCACATCTCTTAGGACTCCTTTTCAGAGTAAAATGCTACAGTACTATAACTGGGATAGTATTTTGTCTATGTGAAAAACAGTTATGCTTAAAAACAGCATTATGTGCTTACACTTTATAGAGTGCTATGCAAGTGTTACCTGAGCTGTCATTTAGTACTTCCCCAACTAACAAAGGAAACAGGAAGTCTGTGAGATGAAACTTCTTCTGTCCAAGAAAACACTGAAGAAAGTCAACTCTTCAACAATTGTAAAATGCATTAAGAGTGTAAATCCATGTAGTACCTTCATTTTT